GGGAGGACCCCCGTTCACGGGGAGGACCGGTCCGAGACGCAGTCTCTCGGCGCCGCGGGTCCGGGCCCGGCCCCCCTCCTGGGGTCCGATCAGATTAAGAAGGAGAGGGAGATGTGCGCGAGCCCGGACCCGCTCCCCGAGCCGCGGGTGACAGCGGAGCTCGGCGGGGGGCCGGGCGTCGTGAAGGCGGAGCGCGAGCCCGCGCCGGTGTCCGCTCACGTCAAGCAGGAGGAGGAGGAGGAGCCGGGCGGGGAGCGGCTCGGGGGGGGCAGAGCTCCGAGCGGGAAGGGAGAGAGGGACCAGGACCTCCGATACGGAGAGCCGATCCCGGGCCCCTCTGCCCCCTCCTGGAGCGCCTCCACCCCGGAGTCCGCCGGGCCCGGTCCGGACGGCCCCCGCTGCCTGCGGTGCGGCCGGGCCTTCGGGAGCCCCGGGGCCCTCCGGGAGCACCAGCGCGCGCACGCGGGGGAGAGGCTGACCTGCCCCCAGTGCGACAAGACGTTCAGCTGCGCCCGGAACCTGACGGAGCACCGGCGCGTGCACACGGGCGAGCGGCCCTACGCCTGCGCCCAGTGCGGGAAGAGCTTCGCCCAGTCGGGCAGCCTGAAGATCCACGCGCGCACCCACACGGGCGAGCGGCCCTACCTCTGCGCCTACTGCGGCAGGGGCTTCGGCAGCTCGGGGCACCTGCGGTACCACCAGCAGGCGCACACCGGGAGGAAGCCGTTCTGCTGCAACCAGTGCGGGAAGAGCTTCGCCCAGTCGGCGAGCCTGAAGACCCACCTGCGCGTCCACACGGGCGAGCGGCCCCACAGCTGCGCGCTCTGCGGCAAGGGCTTCAGCATGCCGGGGGACCTGCGGCGGCACCTGCGCATCCACACCGGCGAGCGGCCCTACTCCTGCGCCCAGTGCGGCAAGGGCTTCAGCGACCCGTCGGTCCTCAAGATCCACCGGCGCGTGCACACGGGCGAGCGGCCCTACCGCTGCGCCCAGTGCGGCAAGGGCTTCAGCCAGTCGGGGGACCTGAAGAACCACCAGCGCACCCACACGGGCGAGCGGCCCTTCGCCTGCGCCCAGTGCGGCAAGAGCTACAGCCGCCTGGAGAGGCTCAAGGTGCACCGGCGCACCCACACGGGCGAGCGGCCCTACTGGTGCCTCCAGTGCGGCAAGGGCTTCGGCCGCTCGGAGTCGCTCGCCAAGCACAGGCGGGTCCACCAGCGCGAGGGCCCGGGGCCCGGCCCGTCGGGGGAGCAGGCGGCTTCGCCAGCACCGCCAACGCTTCACGGGGGCAGGAGGCTGTACCCCTGCGCCCAGTGCGGCAAGAGCTTCACCACGTCGGGCAACCTCAAGATCCACCAGCGCACCCACACGGGCGAGTGGCCCTACGCCTGCCCCCAGTGCGGCAAGAGCTTCAACCGCTCGGGCGACCTGAAGGTGCACCAGCGCATCCACACGGGCGAGCGGCCCTACGCCTGCGCCCAGTGCGGCAAGGGCTTCCGCCAGTCCGGGGACCTGACCAAGCACCAGCGCACCCACACGGGCGAGCGGCCCTACTGCTGCCCCCAGTGCGGCAGGAGCTTCATCCACTCGGGCGACTTCCAGCAGCACCGGCGCGCGCACACGGGCGAGCGGCCCCACGCCTGCCCCCAGTGCGGCGAGCGCTTCAGCCAGCTCAAGAACCTCAAGGCGCACCAGCGCACCCACTCGGGGGAGCGCCCCTTCCTGTGCACGGCCTGCGGCAAGGCCTTCTCCGAGGCCAGGACGCTGCAGTGCCACCAGCGCATCCACACGGGCGAGCGGCCCTACGCCTGCGCCCAGTGCGGCAAGGGCTTCAAGCAGCTGCGCTCGCTGAGGACGCACGAGTTCATCCACACGGGCGAGAGGCCCTACCGCTGCCCGCAGTGCGGGAAGGGCTTCAAGCAGTCCGGCGACCTCAAGGTGCACCAGCGCATCCACACGGGCGAGCGGCCCTACGCCTGCGCCGTCTGCGGCAGGGCCTTCAACCGCTCGGGAATCCTCAAGGCGCACCAGCAGGTCCACACGGGCGAGAAGCCGCACCGCTGCGCCCAGTGCGGGAAGAGCTTCGGCCGGCCCGCCACCCTCCGGAAGCACCAGCAGGTCCACGCGAGAGAGTAGCGCCTAGCTCTCCGCTGAGCTCGCGGCCGGTCTCTCCCGACCTCCGGCGCGCCTTCTAGCGGGAGAGCCGGGGAGAGCACATCGCCCCCACGCACTCCCGCCTTCTGAGCGTGTGCGCGCAACTTGAGTCACGGTGTCGCGACGCTGGTTTTCAAGACGGATTCCCTCAGCTCCTCCAAATGGAAACAGTGTGACCCACAATGGGACCCACAGTGCCCCACAATGGGACCGACAGTGTGACCCACAATGCCACCCACAGTGACCAACAGTGTGACCCGCAATTGGACCCACAATGCCACCCACAGTGTGACCCACAGTGCCCCACAATGCCACCCACAGTGACCGACAGTGTGACCCACAATTGGACCCACAATGGGACCCACAGTGTGACCGACAGTGTGACTCACAATGCCACCCACAGTGACCCACAATGGGACCGACAGTGTGACCCACAATGCCACCCACAGTGACCAACAGTGTGACCCGCAATTGGACCCACAATGCCACCCACAGTGACCGACAGTGTGACCCACAATTGGACCCACAATGCCACCCACAGTGTGACCCACAATGGGTCCCACAGTGTGACCGACAGTGTGACCCACAATGGGACCCACAGTGACCCACAATGCCATGTGCCACCCACAATAAGACCCACAATGCCACCCACAGTGACCACGAGATTCTTCCACCGAAGAGCATTACCTCTCGTGCGAGGAGTGAGGGTCCTGACATGCTCCTGACCAACGAAAGGAACACATGCCCTGCCCTCATGAAAGACTTGAAGTAGGATATTGGGGAAAAAAAAACTTGTGTGTGAAAGTTTTCACGCCACGCTACTTTCAGTTTGCTTTCAGTAGTGTGTGTATCTAAGCACGTTCTCTCCAGCCGAATCCGTGTCGGACTGGAGCAGGAGGAGAGAGAGCTGCCCGCGGTTCAGTGGAGGACACCAGCAGGCCGTGTGTTCGGACCAGCGTGACCTCGTGTGTGACTGACTCTCTCCCCACCCCGTGCTGTCTGAAACGCGTTTATATACCAGTAGCCCTGTAAAAGCAGAGCTCACGATGTTCAGTCTTTGATGTGTCATTTTAACAATATTGTCCACGCTTGTGTTTTGGAGTTGGAGGTATCATCCTTGTATCCACATTTCCGCAGAGACGCGCGTGAGCAGAGCAGGTCCAGATGACCAGAGACACTGGTTACAGCAGGCAGGCTGGGAGATGGACCTTCTGAGCCGTGAACAGATCGATCACAGACTCGTGACACAGTCTCACAGATTCTCGGCTCTCCGGGTGTGTGATTGGGTGCTGAGCTCGTTGTTTGCCCCTCAGGCAGGAGCTGTAGTAGAGAGCCGAGGTGACTCCTGATCGGACAGGTGTGAGTGAGGAAACACCAGGTGATGAAATGTTGAAAATCACAGCCTTGATTAATCAGCTCACCCACTGAGCTGCTTCTTTAATCTTCAGGGGTATATCTGCAGACCTCCTCACCTGCTGTACTACAGCTGTATCTTGTCTTGATTGTGGTTATCGTATATCATAGTGGTGTTCTACTGAAAGGATTCTTATAGCACACTACCGCACACTACTGCACACTACTGCACACTACCACACACTACTGCACACTACTGCACACTAACACACACTACCGCACACTACCACACACTAACACTACTGCACACTACCGCACACT